GGCGCGGGCGAGTCATGGCCCCAATTGGTTTGGGGAAGGAGGGAAGAGCGGCGGCGCTGGGCGCGACTTGGTGCGTTTCAGGCCGGACACACTGTGCGCGGAGCAGACGTGTCCTGGGCCCGGCCCGGCCGTGGAAAGAAGGGAAGGAGAATCAAATAAAAAAAAAAATGGAGTTGGTACGCTAAGTGCCCAGTGAAGCCAAATGACACGTCATTTTTACAGTATGACCTTTTTTCCCCCTTCCAGACATGCAGGCTTTTTAAAAAGCAAAGAAGAGAATTAATTGTAGCAGCTGCCCTCACCCCCCCCCACCCCCAGCAGCATCGCCTCCCCCCAATAAACCATTAACACACATATTTTCCTGTTAGTCCTCCACATTGAGAGTACTTTGTGGAAAAGGGGGGGCAATTCACAAATCAGAACTGGAAAATGACATTTGTCTGTAAATGGCTTCTGGGTCTGGAAATGGCGTTTTTTGTCCTTTTCAAGGGGGGAGGGGGTCGAGTGCGCTTTAAGGAAACCCTTTTTCCAGGTGGAGGAGATGAAAAGACGTTAATTAGTTGTTTGTCAAGTGACATTTGGTTGTTTGGTTCTGGGTTTTCTCTCTTGATTGCGGTTTTTACTTCGGCCAAAAAGGGGGGTGGAATTTGAGATGACCTTTCCTCCTTTTTTCTTAAAGGTGCTGCTTTGGGGAGGGAGGGGGGGAGAAGTTAAAATAAAACAAAAAAAGCATTTAAAAAAAGTGGTGAAATGACCAGAAGAATTACACAAGCATTAATTAGTATGGAAGTTTTCCACTTCCTCGGTAATTTGGTTATCTGAATGGTGAATTTGGTAGGTTAAGACCTAGTTCATGGTCACACTTCAACAAAACAGCTTAGTTATAAAGAATAAAGTGTAAAGGCTGCTTTTCTTTGTGGTGTTTGCTTTGCTTGTTTGGATGGGTTATGTCTTTGTTCTCCTGAGTCCAGGTTTATATAAAGCAGAAAATTATTAAGTGTAAATAAGTCTTTTTGGTGTTTGTGCATTTGCAATTTCAGTAATTAAATGATACATATGTTGAGGTCTTATTTAAAACTTGTAAAGGCAGAATTATACTATGTGAAGAATAATATGCATAAACTTGATTTCAAAGTATAAGCCTGGAAAAGTCTAGAATCTTTTCCTTGGACGCTATCTCGTTACCTGAATTTGAAACAAGTATGCTAATGGTACCTTAAATTTCTAACACCTTTGTGCAATAATCACAAAGTCTCCCCTTAATTTGAGACTGTTACTTTTGAACACACCTTGCATCACTGGGCTCACCTTCCCCAGATGTCCTATATGGCTACATTTTATCACAATTTATTGATAGCCTCTGGCACAGGTGTCTGCAGCCCTAACCAGTGCAAAACATTTTGCATTTTTAAGGTGATTCTCACCAAATATCCCCCCCTCCCAAAAAAAGAGGAAACAATGATGTCCGGAGTCCTCTTTTTAATCCATCTTAATTTAATAGTGAATTACGTACCACAAAAAAACTTTTTCAGCCCAATTCTCTTATTTCATATACGTGGAAACTGAGGCACAGATCTGTTTCGTGCCTCTAAAAGCAGTATTACAAATCCTAACACCTCTGAAATAAGAATATTGGAGATTCTTGAGTAATTTTATGCTTTCTCTTCATGGAATCTCCTAATAATGCCTTTAATATTTTAATGTATGAGAGTGAGACTCATTAAGATAGTGTTTGCTTTGAAATCAATGTTTCTTTAGAAACATTTTAACTTTCCCAGGTACTGATTACAGCCTTGTGAAAAGGCAGGAGAAGGAGGACTGCTTTACTCTCTGGGAAGTAAAACAAAACAATTAAGAAAAGTAAGGGGGAGGGGGGGTAAAGAAAAAAACCCCAACCAGGTTTGTGTGAGAGAAGGGTAAAAAACGGCTCACACAGAATTATTTGTGGGACAGTGTGTATTTACAAAAGAGAAAATGAAAAAAAAAAAATAGCAGCCCTCCTTCTAGCCTGGAAATGTGGTTTTTCACTATTCTTATAAAGGTAAGGTCATTTTAACTGGCGATATGTCACCCTTCTTACTTTTAGCTGGGAAGGGCTTGACATCTTTGAAAACGCAGTGGTTTCTAGGTATATTTTTCTTTACGATTAAAGTTTTTAACTCTTATTAGAGTTGCTGCATGTTAATGTGGTTCTCAAACACTATATTTGGTATTAAAATGTGTTTTTCCAGAAGATAAAATTGGTGGTCTTCTACCACTCCCCCCTCCCGTATAACATGGTTGCTGAATCCAGAGAGAAGGGGGGGGGTGTTGGGTAAAATGCCAGGCTGCGGTTTGAGGCACTGAATTTTCAGTAGCCTGGGGGGGGGGGGGTGCCCGCCCGGAGAGCATCTGCTTTGGGACAGTGCTTGGGAGGCAAGTGCTGCGTCAGACTGCAGTGTCGGCACTGGTGGTGGGTCCTGGGTATTTAACCATGAAGCATCTGACAAACAATGAATTATATGGCTCTACACATTCATGTGTGCAATTTACCTGAATTCTCAGTTTCAAGGATTCAGTTTCACAGTTTGAACTTCAATTTTCTCGCACCCCCTCCCCAAAATGACAAAATTGCATCACTTTCTCCTCCCCCTTTGCTTCCCCACCCCACAAATTTTAAAACAGCCCAAACCTTTAATTCTTGTTTGTTATTCTAATGGTGAAATACTGCAGGGACACAAAGTTGGACATTTATTATATTTTTGATGCGTCAAAATGTCTATGAAAATTGCACGTCTTTATTTTGTTTGTTTGTTTCTGTGTCGCTTCTGCGGGAAAGCAGCAGTCCTCTCACTGCCCAGTGTGTAACATGCCTCCTTCATAACCTGAGACTCACTTTCCTTTTCTAGGTGCGGGAGAGTCTGGTAAAAGCACCATTGTCAAGCAAATGAGGATTCTGCATGTTAATGGGTTTAATGGAGAGTAAGTGTCTAAGCCGCACCAGGGACAGGGACACACTGGATACTAACCTTGAGGAAGTTTAGGTAGCTTGGGAGACTGGGCAGCCAATTTTCACTTAATTTTTTCAGCCTGCATATTAGAAAATCCCGGGGAGAGCTCTTTTAGGGGTTTCCCCCTCCCTCCTTTTAATATTTGTTGCAGCAACAAATCATAATAGTAGTAGCAGTAAGCACCAGTGTCATGTGAAGAAAACACCTCCCCTTCCCCAGGAAAGATGCCTGGCTGGCCCCGGGACAGGTCTGCCGCAGGCTTTGGTGCAGTGGGTCCCCAACATGGCTGACACGGGCTGCGGCCACCCCTTGGTCAGGTGACACCCACCACTGCAGAGCACCCCCCCCCCCCCCCCGCAGAATTCACCGCAATGCACCAAGGGAGGGTGGTGTTTTAACTATTAAAGAAACATTGTTTCAATAATATTCTCTCACAAAACAAAGTTAGAAGAGGCAGCCCTTGTTAATAATTACTCATCCCCCCCACCCTTGGAATTAATGTTATGGGCAAATCATCGTTTTCCTCTTTAAAAATCAATAGTTGTGCCTGAAGGGACGTAGAGGGGATATTTAAATGATGGGAAGGCTAGGAGTTAGGTACTTCTGGCTGGATCAAGGGGCACTTTTGCCTTTGAAACGTCCTTTTAGGCATCGTGGTCTAAGGCAACGTGACGGAACCGCGATGTGAATAAAGATGAAAAGAAAACGCATGTGCTAGGGATGGAAAAAAATACGGGTCTTGCCTGCCGGGCGGGGCGCAGACGGAGGGGAGCGAGCCTCCGGCTAGTCAGGGAGTTGCTCCCCTCGGACCCCAACTAAGCTGACCGGCCTGTTTTCCTGGTGTGAGGGCACTGGGTCACCATTACTAGCTGGTTAGCAGTTCCAGCCCCTCTAACCCAGGTGAAAGTTGACCCCTCCGTTGCATTCCCTTTAGTTTCGGAAGGGGGACCACCAAGTCATGGGGGCACAGTTTAATTTAGTTATACACGCAAAAGCAAGCAGACCCCATAAACTCCAGTAAAAAAGCCCTACTGTCCCCCGAGTACCAGGGAAACAATTTTATCACCTTTCAGAGGTTAAACTGCACCGAAGGCAGCTCTTTATGGAAAATTCTAGAATTTCTTAAATCAAGCGGTCGGGGTGGGGGTAAGAAAAGGATGACATCATGCAAATGGATGTTTCAGTTGAGGTGCTTTTTAGGCTTCCCCTGAGTTCGGAGGGATGGGCTGTTTCACCAACTTTATGGCCGACTCCCAGTGAGTCGTCAATACGCCCATACATGCTGTTAATTACACAGCTGCCTTCTCTCACAGAAGCCAGTTCTGAAATTCTTAATTCCTTACACACCTTTCAGTAAAGTCCTGCCCCCAGAGATGGCCCCCGGTCAATAAACAAACTGGAGACAGACTTCCAGTTACATGAATTTGTCATTTAAAGGAAAACCTGGCATAATCCCCCCCTCCCCGGAACTTAAGGGGGAGCGTTTCAGGAGGCAGGTTACCCGAAACAGACCCGCCTGCGGACCCTCGAAATAAATATTTTGTTTGAAACGACGTGGCTCCTGTTTTTAAAGGGATGCAGCAGCCACTGTTTACCTTAGTTCTGTCCGATGGAAGATAGGACATCCTGAGAATAATTTAAAGTTTTATAATTCTAATTGCCCTCTTTATTTATTTTTAATTTTTAGAGAAAGGATTTTCCTCCCTCAGTGAGCCAGTCTGTAATGCAGTCCAGGCATTTAAACCAGAACTTCTCTCTTTTCTTTTTTTAAAAAGAGGAAGTGAGTTCCCAGTTTGCCTGCTTTGTAGAGGAAGCCATAGGTAATGCTCAAGGATGTTAAATTTAGCCTGCGAAAGTGACATACAGGGAATTCTTAGTGTGAGTCTGGAAGCCTTATTTTTATCTCGTCCAAGGAGCCTCTTTTTTCCCTTTTCCTTGCTGGGGTATTGCAACAAAGACGGTTTCCCTCGTAGCCAGGGATTCCCTAGGAATCTGGGCCGCCGGGTGCGGGTCTTGTCCCTCCTCCCGTGAGTAAATGTGCGCTTCCTGAGTGCTGGCTGAGCTATTCAACTTGCCTTCACTGTCGCAGACTGCGTGCTGGTTACCTGTGTAGAGTAGCTTGTAATTCTCATCTGACTTTCAGAACTAGAGGTCACAGTCAGATTTCCCTAACGCACAGCTAACTTCCTTACACCGAGTGCAGAAGCCGCCATCAGTGCCGGCCGAGCTAATCAGCTAATCGATGACAAACCCCCCGCTTAGCCAGGCTGCCCCTCAGACCTGCAGGGTGGGGTGCCCACCAGTCAGGAAGACTGCGTTTTGAAAGGTTGTTATTTGGTTTGGTTTTCGAAATCCATATATGGTCTTAATTGCTGACAATTTATGGGGAACAGTTATGCATAAATAAAAACATCATATAGGTAGTTTCTGGGCTGCAGGAAGGGAGGTCTTGCTGTTGCGGCAGATGTCACAGGCGGAAGTCACCCGTGTGCTGCCTCTGTTCAGGTACAACACTGAGGATGGAGGTCTGGGAGCTCGAGGACCTCGCAGGTACTGCTGTGTTCTCCAGAGACTGGAGATAAGTCACCGCTGGCTCCCTGGTGCATGTACCAGTAGGGAAAGCACAAGAAAATAATTAGCAGTCCCTTCTGTCCCGGCCAGAGTCTCCAGAGGGCTCGGCTATTCCTGCAGCCAAGGTGTGGAATTCTCCCTCCACGGCCCGCAGCCCAGGAGACCTTCCACGTTAGCCGAAAAGGCCACCTAGGCATTAAGGGGATGGCGGCCCTTTGCTGAGGAATGTAGAGAGGCTGGGTGGGGATTTTGTGAAATTGCAGTGCCTTGCAGATTAGGTGAGCTTTCAATCTCTCTTTAAAAGGGGCGGCGAAGAGGACCCGCAGGCTGCCAGGAGCAACAGCGAAGGGTAGGCACATTCAAAAACAGAAAAACTTTTAAACAAACAGACATGAAGATCATATTGGGAAACTGAGGGCAGAGTCCCGGGAAGAACGCAAAAATCATTCAGGGGCCATCATCCATCTTGATATACATTTGCAAACAACACATAAACAACTTCATCTCATGGCACGTGAAATGCAAAACAGTTCTGCTGTGGGTTTTCTGTTGGCCATCCTTAAAGTATAATTAGATCCAGCTGGGGGAGAGCTACAGCTTCCAGCCTTAGACCATCAGTTTAGGATTTGGGGAATTGCTGTTTTTCCTTATGGTTCTATCCTGTCCAGTCCCCCGCTCCTACCGCCCCCCCCCCCCCAGCTCTTCATTTGAATCTGCTACTTTTTAAAAAAAAACTACTAAATTCCGTCACCCAGTGGGTGGTCTGATTTTAAAATTTCGGACCTCTCTGAGAAAAATTTCCTCTTAAAATATGAGGTGCCACGCCCTCCTTAATTTGGGAAAAAGAAGTACTTGGCACGTGGGCTGAGGGGATAAGTCATTCAGTGATCTCGAAAAGCCTCTGGTCTTTGAACAGTTATCACTGTAATCCGAGGCCTGTATGTCAGCTAGTGGGCAGGACAGGAGAGGAGTGATGGCATCCATCTTTCCCCCCATTCATTATCCAGTTATTTTTTCTTCACTTCCTGCATCCCCACCACCATCACATGCCAGCACACACATGCATGCATGACAGGTAACCTGCTCCAGCTGTGCCTGCACATTCAGCATGCTGTCATCGGCAGCTTTCTCATGAGACCATGCAGGGCCATGGACTGAGTTAGGACATCTCAGAGAAGTGGCTGGGAGGGGCGGGGCAAAGGAGATGGGGGTCGGGACAAAGTGACTGACACATGTTTGTTCATCTGTTTCTTTTAGAATATTTTACCCCTAGATGATGGCTACGGTTTCTCTTCTTCCCCTTCCCCCGACTGTCCTATCACCCTTGCATGCTGGGATTACCCGTTTTAGGAACTTCTAATAAGAATACTATTCTGTTGTGGTGGGGAGGAGGGTGGGAGGGGTGGGGGGTGGGGGGAGGGGGGACTACACCTAACTAAAGATAACTGAGGGGAGGGGAAAAAAAACACAAAAAAATTGAAAAATTCAAAACACACAAAAAAATTGAAAAATACCAAAAATCACAAAAACAACAAAAATGGAATGAAATTCTTAATTGTTCAAAATGTAGTGTGACATCCAAAGTAGACATTTACTCCTTAATTGTTCAAAATGTAGTGTGACATCCAAAGTAGACATTCACTCCTTAATTGTTGAAAATGTAGTGTGACATCCAAATAGACATTGACTCCTTAATTGTTAAAAATGTAGTGTGACATCCAAATAGGCATCTATGTAACAAGTGACTGCTGTCAGTTTACTGTACCAAAAGTTGGCATTTGAGAAGTAGTGACAAGTCCTTACTGAACAACTGTGTGCTAGATGCTGGCCTAACCCTGCCCTCTAACCCTTGCCTGCTCTTCTCTGTGACTGTTCTGCAGTAAATACAATATTAACATAAGTGATAAATAAAACTTCTCTGCATGTCTCCGCAGTCCCTGTCTGTCTTCTGTCTCTCTTCTTTGTCTGTCTGTCCCCATAAAAGCACAAAGATGGAGAACCCCCACCACTGAGGCCCGGGGAGGAGGGGGGGAGCCCTTAGGATCTGAGCCAAGCCCTCTGCTCCTCCATGGGGGCGGGGAGCAACCATGCCCCCGTCCTTCCAGCCCCCGTGTTTGGGTGTCACATGGAAAGGAGACACCTGAGGAGTTTTACTCCGAGTCTTGCCATCGAGCTCAGTTCATTAAGCAGTAGTAAGGGTGACGACGGAGCCTGCCAGCCCCCAGTGTAATATCTCCGTCTACATAGTAATTGCTCGGATGGCAGCCTTTGATGTTGGAGCGTTACCCGAATTAGGTTTCGGATTCCTATTTTAGCGGCCTTATACTGATATACTCCCACATCCACTCACATACGCAGAAGACTGAACACGTTCTCAAAATATCCGTATTTTCAGGCGGGAACTTTCCCAATTATCATACCACTCCTTAACCCGGAAATGGAGCTGAGTGAGCCTGGCCCTGGAGACCGTGCTCTCCGGCTCCGGGCACCGGCACTTAGTCCCCCGACAGCTCGTTTTCATTAACACGAAAGGAGGGGTCCTGGCGCTCGTTGCCATGGAGATGGGGCCTGTTTCTAATGGACAGAAGTGAACTTGTCCTGTGGGGTCTTAGGTGAACTTGAACCCCTAAATAAGCCGGGGGGCGGGGGTGTCAAACACGTCCTGTTAAAGCGCTGACGTCTGCATACCGTACCCCGAGTCTGGACATCCTGGTTGCAGGAAGGAGCTTCAAGTTGCACAAACACACACAGAGGGCTCAGTACTCCCAGTCCCCTCCGTGCAGGGTGGGGCCAGCGGCCCGGGCCCCCTCCCCGCGTCACAGCCCCCAGAGGCCCCCAGAGTGCAGCTCTGGCTCACGGCCCCGCCCCACCCCCAGGTCCCCGCCCCCCAGGCCGCCGCAGCGCGCAGCCCCGCCCTGTGAAGGCCAGCTGAACAGGAAGCGGGTGATTCTGGGGAGGGGGCACCATGAGCTCATTCAAGATGAGCTCATTCAAGATGAGGGTCCATCCCTCACATGCAAATGACCAGGGGATATAACACGACAGAAAAGACCATGTTCTTGGGGGCAGGCTGTTGGCCGATGAGCACACGGCCCCCTCAGCTCCCTGCCCCAGGCCCCTCCCTCCCACACTAACTGGCGGACTGGCTGCTATTAACCCCTTTGCGTTTCCTCTATTCGTGTTCTGTCCTCTCCTCCTGAGGGGTCACCACCTCCATCCCCTGACTCTGGGCGAGGCAACCAGGTGAAGGCTTCAAAGATAGGACATCTCAAGAGATTCTTTTAAAAGTTACAGCAGGAGAAATAAGCTCTGTCCCTTCTGCGGGACTCCTCCTCAGCCATGTCCCTGGGTCTAATACACAGGTGTGTTTGGTTCCAAACCCGCCCCCCAAGCCCAGAGGCAGGGTGGGGGCAATGGACCTGGCACGGTTTATGCCCCAAGCCAGGGGTCCTTTCCCCTAAAAGCACGCGGGCCCAGCCTCCAGTGAAGGGCAGTTTTGGAAAGATAGCATTTTAATTGACCTAATGGGGTGCAGGCTATGCAGGGGGGTTGGGGGAGGGTACCCAGAAGCCCAGGGGCGTGGCCTTTACCAGGGAGGGAGGACGGGATCATGCCACACATTGATTTCCCTCCCGTAGCTGTGCCCCGCCCCGCAGTGCTTCGCCCCGCCCCTTGGGGTGCACAGAGCTCCAGGTGACAGGCTCACCTGTGGCAGAGCCACACCTGTGTCCTGAGGAACACATCTCCGTGATTCTTAGGGAAGAGTTAATTCCATAAGGCCATTATGTAGGTCCAAATTAAAATCAAGAGTGTAAAGCAACAAGGCTTCTAACTTCTGTCCCACCCCACCCCCCACCCCCCAGTGCAAAAGTCCCGGGTCATAGAAGACTTCTGGGGCAGTCTCCATCCTGTCCACATCAGAGGCTCAGCACTAGCAACCAATCATTGCTGCTGGCTGCAGTGACAGACACAATGACTATTTAAATAAGTAAACAATCAAGCAAACAAGTCAACGACCAGGGCTGCAAAAGCCCTGAGGTGGGAATAACGGGCCACCTCTGTTCAGCCACTGCCAGTGGGAGGAAGCCCCAAGTGGAACCATGAAACTTTCTCCCTGGCCACACAATGCCCCGCCCCCGCCCCTCCCCCGCCCCCCGCCCCCCAAGCAGAGATGCTAACACTGAGGCCGTGCTAGTGTGTGGTGGGGGCTTGGAGCAAACAGGACCACATGTGAGGGGAGTAATGGACAGGGTACAACCTCTGGTACAGTAGGCCTTGGTCACTACCTAGATGCCAATTTGCTGATGGAGCCCCCTCGGGCATGGCCTCCAGACAGCTGGGAGGTGGTCGTTTGAGACCCCCTTTATTCGGGACCCTCCGCCACTCCTTCAAGAACAGAATACTATCCTTAGTGGAATGTCTTGACTAAAACGGCCCTGTTAGGCAACATGATGCCATATGATTTTTTTTTCCTTTTCAATCCCACTGTAGTGAGAAGGCCACCAAAGTGCAGGACATCAAAAACAACCTGAAGGAGGCCATTGAAGTATGTGCTCGGTTCTTTCTCGTTCTGTTAGCCCCCCTGTCAGACAGAACTGCCCCTGACCGCCTGCTAAATCCCTTTCAGACCATTGTGGCCGCCATGAGCAACCTGGTGCCGCCCGTGGAGCTGGCCAACCCCGAGAACCAGTTCCGCGTGGACTACATTCTGAGTGTGATGAACGTGCCCGACTTTGATTTCCCTCCCGTAAGCGTTGCCCCGCCCCGCAGCGCTCCGCGCCTCCCCTTGGGGTCCACAGAGCTCCAGGTGACACGGCTCACCTGTGGCAGAGCCACACCTTGTCCCCCCCAACACATCAGTGATTCTTAGGGAAGTTAATTCCATAAGGATCCTTAATATTTAAAAACAAAACAGTTGCCCTCGCCGGTTTGCTCAGTGGATAGAGCGTCGGCCTGCGGACTGAAAGTCCGGGTTCATTCCAGTCAAGGGCACACAAGCCCGGGTTGCAGGCTTGATCCCCTGTAGGGGGCGTGCAGGAGGCAGCCGATCAATGATTTTCTCTCATTATTGATGTTTCTATCTCTCTCCCTTCCTCTCTGAAGTCCATAAAAATATATGAAAAAATAAATAAAAACAAAAAACCACTAAGAATCACTAGGGCATGGCTCAAGATGAATGAGCAAAATTCTGTCACCCCTTGTAAATCTGGGCTCTCCCACCCCCACAAGTGCCCGTCACACCAAAAATCCAGGAGAGAAAAGGCCATGAGTGTGTCACCCTGAATCCCTCGCACCCTAGAGCTCTGCCGGGCCCCTGGGTGCAGGCCCCGCCTCTGACGGCCTCTCTTGTGCCCCCTGCAGGAATTCTACGAGCACGCCAAGGCTCTGTGGGAGGACGAGGGCGTCCGAGCCTGCTATGAGCGCTCCAACGAGTACCAGCTGATTGACTGTGCCCAGTAGTAAGTGACCTCGCCACCTCAGCACGACATGGGCACACACTGAGGGAGTGGTCAGTCCATACCAGGTCGCTTGTCAATGAGCCCTGCTGGTGGTGGCCGGCCAGCTGCCCCCACCTGCACGCAGAGTGCTTCTCATTCACTGGCTTTCAAAGCCCTTAATTGCACTTTTTAGTGCAGTGACATTATTTTATATAAATAATTAATGCCTGTTAAAATGATCATTATTAGCAATAAGGCGACATTTATAATTAATTAGCTTAAAGTCATTAATTGGCTTGATCTCCAGGCATTAGGTAGACAGGGCAGCTCTCACACTTTGGATAATGTAAAAATATTTTACTTTATTGCTATAATTTAAAAACATGACAAAATGATGCCGCCGCCCACCTTCCACCCTCCCCCTTTCTCCCCCTCCTTGGTAGCTGATAATTGCTTTGCTATTGCAAAGGGTTTAATAGACAAGCAAGTTTGTATATTTTCACAACGGACAGAAAAACAGTCCCATCTTGGCCAGTCCCTGCGACCCCCACCCCTTCTTCAACAAAGCCCCTGAGTTTCTCAAAAGTTTGAACTAAAAGCTGGAAGTGCTAATTATAGTAACGAAAAACAAATGGAAATCCTGGCATTGTTTCTGGTTGTGCCCTGGGTCCAAGTCAGAGGACAGGTACAGGCCCGGAGCGCGCCCGCCAGGCGGGACAGCCCTTTCACAGCAGTCTAGGCTGCTTTGTTGTGTTTTTTTAATCTTCCACCATCTTAAAGTTTTTCTTTTTTTTTTCTTTTATTTAATTCTTTATTGTTGAAAGTTTTACATATGTCTCCTTTTCCCCCCCATTGACCTCTCCCCACCCACTCAAAGTTTTTCTTTTTTAATGCAACATTAAAGTACTCCTGCAATTTCAGAAGAAAGTGGCAACATCCCCAGTTTATGGAAAGTTTTAAGAAACTTGGGAAAAAGAGGACATAGCTTGTAAAATGTCTTCCCTGGAGGAGGACCCCGAAGCCCTGGTTAGCACTGACCAGTGAGCTTCTGCTCCACTGCCTTTATGTTAATTTAAAGTTGAGGTAGTGGTACCTTGCCCATTTCTTAAGCTGCCTATTTTTATTTGTTGAGCTGGGGTTTGGCCTGGCCCTGCTCCAGCTGTCTCTCTCACAAGATTTGGTGCTGCTGAGCTATTTATAGAACTGTGGTTCTGTTGCCATGGCAACACGCTGGAGGCCAGGGCGGCTGGGGAGCTATTTCTGGACTGGTGCTGTAATGTAAGACTGATTGGGCAAGTTAGTGTATCCTTCCAGCCAGACTAACTCTAACCTGGTAATAAGGAAGGGGGAAAACTTACAGAACTTCTTTAAATAGACTTTCCCCCCTTTGGACTTTCTTTTCTGATTAGCCACTTGCAGCACTTCCAACCACCCCCACCCGACTCCCCCCCCCCCCCAAAAAACACAAAACGCTGGGTTTAACTAAACGTTAATTAAATTAATCCAATCTTTCAGAAGTTATTTTTCCTAACGGTGTTTCTAGTTGAGCAACACAAAAGCAATAAGTTTAGCTGAGGAGAGAGTGACCACTAATGGGAGTCCCTGAGACCCCAGCCCCCTGTGCCTGCTCCCTGCCGTGTCAGGACCCATAACCCGGGTGGCCCTGAGGTTTTTTTAAAAACTACAAATTTCATATCTGGACTGTCCTGTTTCATGGACCAAACAGACCGGAAGGACACACTGTGCGTGTTTCCTGTTCAGTGTGGTCGGGGCACAAAGGGCCCCTGTGTGCCAATCCCTTTTGTTCTCTTTCATTATCGAGGTTCTTAAAAGGTAGGAGGAAGGGATACCCCTTCTGAGTAACTCAGACATTTCACTTTCATTCGCTTGTGGAGGAAACCCAAAGTGAGAGATGCGAAAGTATACAATTTTCAAATTACCCGCTGATTTAGTCAAAGCCAAACAATTTCACATTTAAAATGTTTTTACTTAGATATTATCAAAGGCACACTGTCTGCTAGGCCTGACTTCAGACTGCAGCTGTAGGCCAGGGGTCCTGGGAGCCCAGTCCTGGTTCCCAGATCTACTGGTCAGCAAATACATTTATCTTCAATTCCATTTGCCCTAACTGCTCTAAGGTATAAGCTTCAAGTCATCAATGTAACCAACACAAGCAGAATTCCCATTGATTTAACTGCGGGGTGATCATTTCCATTAGCTTGACCTGGTATGGAGGCGGGAACATTGGGCAAATTGGCATGACACTCAACACCCCTGTGTCCTCCTTTCCCTCCCAGCTTCCTGGACAAGATTGATGTCATCAAGCAGGACGACTATGTCCCCAGCGATCAGGTACACACGTTCTCAAGCTTTCAAGAGTTTTGCCCTAGATTGGCGATTTTTAACATTTCGGTTGGCTTTGGTGAGACCCATTGACCTTGGTTATGTTGTAGGACCTGCTTCGCTGCCGTGTCCTGACTTCTGGAATCTTTGAGACCAAGTTCCAGGTGGACAAAGTCAACTTCCAGTAAGTGAATGGGTTGTCTTTCTGATAAACTGAGATCATGGTGTCCTGCCCTTTAGAGTAACCAGGGGTCCTTTCTCTTCCAGCATGTTTGACGTGGGCGGCCAGCGTGACGAACGCCGCAAATGGATTCAATGCTTCAATGGTAGGGAAGCGTCTTCTCTCCTGTCTAAGGACTCTCTGCTTTTGTCATTGTGAAGGATCGTTTTGCTTCTGACACATAATTGCCTTGCTTTCTTGTGCTAAAGATGTGACTGCCATCATCTTCGTGGTGGCCAGCAGCAGCTACAACATGGTCATTCGGGAGGACAACCAGACCAACCGCCTGCAGGAGGCTCTGAACCTCTTCAAGAGCATCTGGAACAACAGGTTGGTGGAGCAACCCTCAGGTTCCCTCCCGGCCCCTTGCCCAGGAGGCCTGGACTAATGTCCAGCCCTTGCGTTAGAGCAGAATCTTGTCCAAGCCCTTGGGAAAGCATCTCAAGCCCCTGAAGGAGAGATGCTCTTCTACTGGGGCTTTAACCCTGCTTCCCTCTTTGTCAGATGGCTGCGCACCATCTCTGTGATTCTGTTCCTCAACAAGCAAGACCTGCTCGCTGAGAAAGTCCTTGCTGGAAAATCGAAAATTGAGGACTACTTTCCAGAATTTGCTCGCTACACTACTCCTGAGGATGGTACGTGACCCTCTGCAGTTCACTGGCATGTTCGTTTCTATATACAATCATGTATATGCTAACAAAATATTTGTATTCTTCCTAGCGACTCCTGAGCCTGGAGAGGACCCACGCGTGACCCGGGCCAAGTACTTCATCCGCGACGAGTTTCTGGTGAGTGGACTGTCTTTACTTCTCTCTTTGATTGCTTTTATTCTTAGGGATGGAAATTAACTGAATTCTACACGTGGGGATTAAACTATCCAGTACTTCCGTTTCATTTCATGGGTTGCCCTGTGAATTTTAGCTTTTGTGCCCCTTGACTTGGTTTTGTTTTAATTAATGTTAGTCAAGGATCCTTGGGGGAGCGGACGGGGGATGAGTTTGTGCAGAGGGGGTGCTAACCGAGTGTCCCTGTCTGTGCCACAGAGAATCAGCACTGCCAGTGGAGATGGGCGCCACTACTGCTACCCTCACTTCACCTGCGCTGTGGACACCGAGAACATCCGCCGTGTGTTCAACGACTGCCGCGACATCATCCAGCGCATGCACCTCCGTCAGTATGAGCTGCTCTAAGAAGGGAACCCCCAAATTTAATTAAAGCCTTAAGCACAATTAATTAAAAATGAAATGTACACGCAGTTAATCACCCACCATAGGGCATGATTAACAAAGCAACCTTTCCTCTCCCCCTTGAGTGATTTTGCGAAACCCCCTTTTCCCTTTCAGCTTGCTTAAATATTCCAAATTTAGAAAGCTTAAGGCGGCCTTCAGATAAAGAAAAAGAAAAAAAAGGCCAAAATGGTTCCCTCTCTCTTTAAGTAACTAAAATTAACAGCAGCAAACAGAAATAAAAGAAATAAATGAATTAAATGAATTAAATATTGTCTTGTGCAGCATTAAAAAATCAATAAAAATTTAAAAATAGCAGTTCGGGACTCCTTTGACTTATTTGCGGTTTCGAGCGAACGCCGTTGTTCATGGCGGTGGTGGTGATGAAAAGCTGGGAGGCCCCACATTGAGGTGACAAGGCCCCAGGGTTATAAGTGGGTATAAAATTTTGCCACTTTCTTAACCTAATCTTTGGGTTTCTGAAGGCAGTTTGCAGAAAATACAAAACATCCACCCCATCCTCCTCCCAAACCCATGCCCCATAAAAAACCATTAGGCCCATCAATAATGCTACACTTTGATCTTTGCTGCCCTATCCGAAGGTTCTACTAACTTACACTTCAGTGTATCTGTTGACCCAGAATCTCCCCAAAACAGGTGGTACCAAGAGCTATCAAATAAGTAGATTTGGTATTAAATCAACTAGCTAGCCATTGGGGAAAATTTTAAGCTGGATCTCTACCTCATTCCATACACAAATGAATCATGTTTGTTACATGTTTAAATAGAAAAAGATACTTTAAAATGGCTATTTTTACAATTAAAATATTGGTTTCTAGATTATAACTCTAAACATCACCTAAGATCCAAAAGCCCTAAGTGGGGGAGGGAAGAGGGGGAGGGAGGAGCCTACAAAAATTAAAATCACATAATAAAATATGAATGGGGGTGGAGACTGGATAAAAATCCGTAACAAAGGGTTAATTTCCCTAATAAGCAAAAAGCTCTTAAGAATTAACAAGCAAATCCATCACAAAAATGGGCAAAGTATATGAACAAGCAATTTGCTTAAAAAAATATAAATAACATAGGGGTAAATACGGAACCTCAGTCATAAATGAAATGCAAATGAAACTTGCGCCATTGTTGGGAGGGGGTGGTTGTCCACACTCATGGGCCCCATGAAGCCACGGTGGGTTGGTGCTTGGACCTGAGGTCCACTTGGGTTCCCTAGTACTTCATCCCCAGGATCATCCCTTAAGCATGTGGTCACCCATTGCGTGACTTCCCAGGTGGGTGGGAGCCACAGCATCAAGCATTGCACCTGAGACTGCCCCCAGCGTCAACCATCAACTGTTAACACATTTCTGAAACTGGCCTAATGAAACATTAACCAAGTCGATTCTGCAATTCGGGCCAAAAATCCACTTCCTGTTTCCCAAATCAAATTAAACCCAACCAAATTAAATATCAAGCAAAATGAACCCCAAGGAGTGCACAAAAAGTACCAAATATACCATTTCCATAAACCTTCTCAAAGCTTCTTATGAAATATTCAGTCCACATAAAAATTGTGTGCTTGCTGTGTAGACTAAGGTATGAAACAACAAGCCAGACCTGCCCACAAATTCCCATAGTCCCACAAAGCACTCCAAATAAACACAACTAATTAAAACCCAGAGCCAGCTATCAAGTGTAAGCACGAGACCAGCCCACTCCACAAACACCCACCCAAGGAAAAGGCTGTGCCAACAGAAAACATAGGTTCAACACCAATCCTGTAGCTTCTCTTTCAAGATGGCCACCTGTCTATGTAGAAATTCCAGAACCTTCTCTGAATAGTCTACATAAAATTGCCACAGCACTAGCCACATATCCACCAAAATTAGAAAACAAAGTCCCAGGCCACAGAGCAGTTACACCAAGAAAATGATACCCCAAGACCCCCCTCATTGCTAGTCAAAACTGGCAGCAACTTTGTGAGAATTTATAGGAGGGAATAGAAATCACCTACTATGTGCCAATCTGCCCAATGAGATGGACTCACCATAACTGCCACTGTACCAATGAGTAAATGGAGGCCTAGAGAGGCCAGAGGCATGGCTAGTACGTGGGGAAAATGACCTTCAAATTCAGGTAGACAGACTACTTGACTACAACACTGTATAATGTTATTTTAGAATATACAGAAGAAAAGAGGAAAAGGTCTCCTGCTGCTCCTTCCAGGATGCCAGTGGTCAGGAGTCATGACCTGTGACCCCAAGGGGAACTCCTGCAGGGCCCCATGGGTTCCATATGCGGTGGTGGTGATGACCGGGTGGATGGATAGGTGGCAGAGGGGGGTGGGGTCCTCTTCCCTCAGTGCCCACCAGTTCAGAGGGTTGCCATGGGGCCACTCCAGTCACTCAGATGTGTAAGGGTCCCTTCCCTTCCTTATAGTCCATCCCTTCTCTTAAAACATTTTCATTGCCATGATCCTTTGATCTGGTACCAAACCTAACTTTTATAGGTAGGGCCACTTTAAAATTTAAATTCTAGGATCTTCAGAAAGTCAAATTATGAAGAATTACACCTAAATTTTTTATTACAAGGAACCACTAGTTTTAAAATTTTGAGCTGAATTTTATATCTCTTTTTAAATGCAAAACACACACACATGCATTTTAATTTAATTTAAAAATTTCCATCACCATTTATCCCCTCTACTCTAGAGGCCCAGTGCATGAAATTTGTGCACGGGAGGGGGGGTGTCCCTCAGCCCTGCCTGCACTCTCTCCAATCTGGGATCCCTCTCACAACCCAGGACCACTGCCTCCTAACCACTCACCTGCCTGCCTGCCTAATGCCCGCAACGGCCCTCCCCTGCTGGCCTGGTCGGCCCCAACGGCCCTCCCCTGCCGGCCTGATCTTGCCCCCAACGGCCCTTCCCTGCTGGCCTGGTCGCCCCCAACTGCCCTCCCCTGCCAGCCTGGTTGCCCCCAATGGCCCTCCCCTTCCAGCCTGGTCGCCCCCAACGGCCCTCCCCTGCCGGCCTGATCTTGCCCCCAGCGGCCCTTCCCTGCTGGCCTGGTCACCCCCAACTGCCCTCCCCTGCCAACCTGATTGCCCCTAG